GTTCCTTCTCCTGTTCCTTCTCCTGTTCTTGGTCCTGATTCCGCGGCATATTTACGTCCTGCTGCAGTTGAGCCGTGTTGCCGATTGGTCGTTGGCCCTGACTTTTTTGATGGCGCAGCGCCTCCTTCGGACCTTCTCCTTCAATTGCTCTCACAGTGCCATCCTCCCACCATTCTATGTCCCTTTCTAGCTTTCCTTTTAGCAGCGTCTGCCCCTGCTGCCACAAGATGTCCTCAAGAGTAGACTTTGTATCCATGAAGATATTCAGATGGTCGCTGATGATATGTCGATTCTTGCACTCCGGACAAGTAATCAGCACTGTGCCTTTGTAGTAGCCGTGCTGCGAGATACGATGTGATGAACGGTGACTGCATGGTTTGCAGGTGAATGTGATTAGGAATGCCCGTTCCTCTGCACGTCGCTGTGCGTTCTGGGCGGTATCTTCAGGGGTCACAGGTTTGCTGTCTGTAAGAGGAGAAGGAGCTCTGGTGGAGGTCGAGTTATATCTGGAAAACTGTGAGGAGAGGAATGGAGGTGGATTGTTTGAGCGTGTCGAGAATCGGGTTGTGGTGAATTGATCTTTACGGCATGCTCTGAAGGATCGAGATTTGAGTGAGGAAGATGTGAGAGGAGAGTGCGCTACGCGAGTCGCGAGGCTCTGAAATAGCCTTTTGGAGGAAGCCATAATCCTATTAATTCAATTACACGAGTCAAAGCAAGGGCGGCGATGAACAAATCGTAGATTTGTTTGCCTTGATTACTGGGTTCGTTGTTAATCTAAAAAATTCTGAAGTTCATATTTTTGCCATGACATAATTGGTGTCACGTGATTTACCCGGAAATACATTGTTCCTATTGCAGTGATATAGTTCGTCACGTCGTTTTCTGATCGAACAAACATCCAAACTCCATATGCCGTCACGAAGGAAAAGAAAGTGAATCCTATGATTGCTTGATGCATTCTGCCCACGGGAAATTGATATCCGCCGTGTTAATGAGGCGAACCGTGGCAGCTACACTTTGGTGACCTGCCACTCACTTTCGGTTCTCCGGCTTACCCACCAATCCCGCAGCTGCCTCACAACATTCAAGGCTCCCTCGTTTCTCCAACTTCGTTTATTTCACATACGGGATGCAAAGCCGTTATTTTCCAATGAAAAATGGCGATGAAACCGAAAAGTAAAATCCGTGTTCCACGGCGGGTATGCTTTTCACCGCTCTCTTACTCGCAAAACCTCTCCCCGCTTTCCACTTTTATTACCGCAACAGTTTTCTTGCTACATTGAGCGTTGGATCAAGAATCCCCAGCTGACTCTCAACTATCTTAGAGCATGGCAGCGCGGGACAACTCTGCTGATTTTGACACTTCATGGGATGTACTCTCCTCCTCTCTTCGAGAAATTCATACCAAGAATGCCTCGAACCTCTCCTTTGAAGAATTATACCGAAATGCGTATAAACTGGTCCTCAGGAAGAAAGGCATGGATCTCTACGATCGTGTAGCTGAACTGGAAAAAGATTGGCTTCAGAATGTGGTGTTAAAGCAGGTCACCACATATATTGCTCCGTCACTTTCGTTGGAAGGTGATGCAGTCGACACGCTGGATCAAGTGAACGAAAGAAGAATAGCAGGTGAACGCTTCTTAGGGAAATTAAGAGAGGTCTGGGAAGATCACCAGCTTTGTATGGGAATGATTACGGATGTACTTATGTACATGGTAAGATTTCCAATATTTTCTTCTCTTCCAGGCAACCTCACATTTGTTTAATACTCATTTCTCCAAAAAAGGATAAAGTAATACTCCAGGACAAACTCCGCCCGTCGATATACGTCACCGCGATGTGTTCATTTCGTGACTATGTTCTAAATGCAGACATTGGATGGAATAGACAAATGACCGTTTATGATGTCTTTGAAGCCACCGTTCTGTTCATGATCAGGCTTGAACGCGATGGAAATATCATTGATCGCCCCTTAATACGGCATTGCATATATATGCTTGAAGGGCTGTATGAGACGGAAAGAGAAGAGGAGTCTGGAAAGCTTTATGTCACATCCTTTGAACCGTCTTTTTTGGAGTCGAGTCGACTTTTCTACCTCGCGGAAGGTCAACGTCTCCTTGCCACAGCCGATGCCTCGACGTTTTGTAAGCGGGTGGCCGAAAGGTTACGAGAAGAGGAAGAACGCTGTCGCTATACTTTGTCTCCGGCGACAGAGCACAAAATCAAACAGGTTATTGATGAGAATCTAGTCGAGAAACACATTGGGAATATCATAGCTATGCCCGATAGCGGGGTCAAGTATATGCTAGGTAATGATCGATTACCTGATTTGAAGAATGTCTACGAGTTAAACTCGAGGGTCGATGAAAAGAAGCGGGCCTTGACATCAGCTGTACAAGCTCGTATTGTCGAACTAGGATCAGAAATCAATAACGCAGCGAGGGATTTTTCGCAAGGACCTCTCCCAAGTCAAAAGCCCTTAGACCAAGCTGCAAATGGCACAAAAGGCAAGAGTCCAGATGATAAGGCGCCAGTAAACTTACAAACAGCTGCTGCAATTAAATGGGTGAATGATGTTTTGCAGTTGAAAGCCATGTTTGATAGGGTTTGGGAGATGTCTTTTAATGCAGACCAAGGGATGCAAACCTCCATAACGACAAGTTTCGCGGACTTCATCAATGCAAACCCCCGAAGCTCAGAATATCTGTCCCTTTTCTTCGACGAAAACTTGAAGAAGGGAGTTCGAGGTAAAACTGAAGAAGAGATAGATGCTTTACTGGAGAGCGGAATCACCCTGCTGCGATATATTCGCGACAAAGATCTCTTCGAGACTTATTATAAGAAACACCTTTCCCGACGATTACTTATGAAGCGTTCTGCAAGCACAGATGCTGAGCGACAGATGATCGAAAAAATGAAAATGGAGGTTGGCAACACCTTCACTCAAAAATTAGAAGCCATGTTCAAGGATATGGAATTATCCTCGGGCCTCACATCCAAATATGCGAATTATATTTCGCAGCAAGAGTCAGATTCAAAACGCATTGATCTCGAGATCAACGTGCTCACCAGCACCATGTGGCCAATGGAAATGATGACAAACTCGAATAAAGATGGCTCTCTAGCAACCCAATGCACCTATCCAAAAAACATCGAACTTCTCAAACAAAGCTTCGAGCAATTCTACCTTGGCCAACACAATGGGCGCAAATTGCAATGGCAATCTGGCATGGGCACAGCCGATATTCGAGCTACCTTCCCGAGACCAAATGGTAAGGTCGCTCGTCATGACTTGAACGTTTCCACCTACGCAATGGTGATTCTATTGCTATTCAATGATCTAGGTGCAGATGAATCACTCTCTTTTGAAGAAATACAAGCTCGAACAAATATCCCAACCAATGAGCTCTCAAGGAATTTGCAGTCTCTGGCTGTAGCTCCCAAAACCCGGGTGTTGAAGAAGGAGCCTATGAGTAAGGACGTGAAATCGACAGATCGATTCTTCTTCAATGAAGGATTCCACAGCGTGTATACCAAAGTTAAAATCGGCGTCGTTAGCAGTGCTGGTAACAAAGTCGAAAACAAAGACGAACGGAACGAAACTGAAAAGAAGATGAATGACGAACGGGGCGGTGGAATTGAAGCTGCCATTGTACGGATTATGAAGTTCGTTTTACCTCTCCTTTTTGTCGCCACCCCCTGACTCCGTAACGACCCCCGCATTGCACCACTCTCAAACAACAATCTACTTTTCCCCTTTAATCTACTAGAAGGTTAAAAATGACTAACTTCCGCTACCAACAATAGACAACGCAAGAAGCTTTCCCACACCCAGTTGATGACAGAAGTAATCTCCCAACTCGCATACCGCTTCACCCCTGAAGTGAACATGGTCAAGAAGAGAATCGAGAGCCTTATAGATCGTGAATACATTGATCGAATTCCAGACTCCGACCCACCAGCTTATGTTTATCATGCATAGACGAGTTTCAAAATAAAAACAAAGACAAAAGCAAGACTACATGCTTAGATGACACTACATAGCACCCTATAAGCATTGCTTTTCGCTTCGCTATTTTGGATTCTTTTTCTTTCAGTTTCTAGTTACCTTTTACAAGCGACGTTTCCCCTCTGTCCTTGTTTCATGGTTTTCCCACCCTGACTCTTTCTCAATGAGACTTGATCAACTTCAACTTCGACTTTCTCCTTTCCCTTCTATTTTCTTCTCTGCCGTTTGCTTAGGTCAGGGTAACCGGTTTTTATACATTCATGGGTTGGTGCTATATGGGATTTGGGGGGTGGAGGAATATTTGGGTTTCTGTTTTCTTTTCGGAAGTTTCATTTGTCTGAACATGATGCAACGCTTCACTTCTGGCTTGGGGGTACTGCAGGTGAGATGAAGGGGGAAGGGCATCTTGACCTAGCGTTTTTCAACGGATTTCGTTGAATATATCTTGATTTCTTCTTCTCCCCCTTTCACACCTCCTCGACCTACCCTTTGCCACCAATCCAATCTGCATAACAACTGATGATTGCCACCTCCAACCGTAGATTTTGCAACGACTCGCTTTGGAATCTTGAGTAATTTTACTTTTCTACCCAATCCTATATATATATATATATTCACCAAAATGCCACCCTCAACACCAAGGTTAGGGGTAGGTTAGGATTAGGAGAAATACAGGTTTTGCCTTAGCCCTTGATAATTTATATAGCCTTTACCTAGTGGGCCCTATTTCCCCCACATCTCTCACTGAATATTCCCAAACTATAAACGGGGCTCTTCTGATTCTCAATCTGTGTTTCCATCTAATATATCTATAGAATCTCTAGTCTTTGCCAATTCCCATCCAAAACGCCACGCTAAATATGCAAGTATTTAGAAACATAACTGTCGTGTAAATAAATAAATAAATAAATAAAATAATGGGACAAGAGATAAGCCCCAGTTCCCAGATAATCCCGCTTCTCCCACGTTCCATACCTTAAGTCTCAAACTAAAGGACCTCCACCTCACCCTTCCCCCACGCCTCCTTAACTCCCTCCCACCTCACAACCCATACCTCCCCCCTTCGCATCCTCCTCCCATAGATATCCCCACCCCCATAACTACTGCTACCCGCCTCTTCACCAGCCGCGATAACAATCCTCACTTCCTCCACCAAACAGCGCACGAATACGACCTCCTTCGTTTCAGGCCCCTGTATCATACTTATCCCGCCCGCATTATCGTCTAGGCGGCGCAACTGTGATGGAAACGTGGATAGGAAACAGCTGTTGTAGTGTGCTGTTAGGAGGGATTGGTGGTTCTGGAGGAATGCGGATTCCTGCGCGGAAAGGAGGGGGTGTTTTGTGTCTTTGTTCAATTGATATGTGTGTGTGGTAGAGGCAGTTGGGGGAAGGGTGGGTGTGGGTGTGTTGAAGGTTGCTTGGGAGGATTGTTGCTGGGATTGTGAAGAGTTGGGGTGGGAGGAAGGCGGAGGGGCGGAGAGGAGGAGGTAATGTAGACTGTGCTTTGTGAGTTTTGCGAGGCGCTGGCGGAGAATGGAGCGGATTAAGTATTGGGTGCGGGAGAGGTCGGATTGGAGGATGGAGAGCTTGAGGTTGAGTGTTGGGTTTTTGGTTGGGTTTGATATCGCGGAGGTGGGATCTGAGGCGGATGCGGTGAGGTCTTCGATTTTTTCAATCTGGAAGCACATCAAGTTCCTTAGTTATTTTATTTCCCAACTCTTGGGAGCAGGTCGGTCTAGGTACAATAGTTTATTGCGGCGGTTCAACCCATGATTACTACGTTTCCAAATCTTCTACACCCAATTCTCCCCTCAAATTCCGCCACCACCAACACAAACAATCAAAAGAGCTTCAAGTTCCAATATGTCACTCACCTGCCTCCGAACCCTTTCCATAACCCTCTCCATCAGCGGGCCAGGCCATGGCAGAAGCTCCGGGACACCTCTCTCTGAAACCCAGAAGCGCGTAAGTTGCTGGGCGTCCAGGACGGTAGCTTCGGGCGATGAGAAGCCTGGCCGGTCAATCGAGGCGAGGATATCGTCTATATCCATTCTTCGGGACAGTCAAGGTAGCTGTAACTGGTGTCGCGACCCTGATTGCTGTTGTTTGCTGATACTGGTTTTTGGTGTGGTATGAAGGCAATTGAGGGTTATGTTTTGGTTGGGTGACGTTGAATCTAATCGGGTTAAATTGAAGTCGCGTCTATTTGGCGACAGCAGACACGCGCTAAACCCGACACGGTAATTTTCCAACCTGAAAATATATATGGAGTACGAGAGAACAGGAATACTAATAAAATGATATAAAACTTCTTGCTTTTTATTTAGTTTTCTATGATATTAATCATTGCAATGTATTCTAAGACAGGAATTCGGAAGAATGAGAAGAAAAAGGAAATAGTTAAGGAAACACGGGGTTGACGGGATTCCTCCAACCAATCTGTCAGTACATCAATTCTTGTTCCTCTCCCAACATCTCCAATAATTGACCACTGAATATTCTCTCATCCCGCTCCAAGAGTCTCGAAATGAAGGGTGCAGGTAAATGCGCATCCACTCAATCAAGACTGCGTGATTCTTCCTCGTACTCTTATATTTAAGCAGAATAGATCAGCCTCGACATCCGCAATTCCTATAAAACACCACCGTTCCAAAAGCACCTGCTCGGTACAATGTGGCCTATCAGTGATTTCAAAATAAAACTAGAGGGCTCGTGATGATGAAAAGCTTCGCTGGTCAGTGATGGGCCCAAGGGTTTTTTATTTATTACTTTTTTGGGCGGGGAAGGGTTTGGAGGATCGACAAAATGCGGTTGAATCTGAAAAGGAGGACAACTATTTTGGAGAATAAAATCCAGGAATAACATAGAAAGTGGGGAGGGTGGCGTTGAGCCGATAATGGGAGATCCCATATACTTCTACTGGAGCAAAAAAGGATGGTTGCGGGATTGGAGGGGTTGGAGGTGTATCGAATTTTCGTTCGTTCGTTGAGTGTCCCTTCATATTGGGTTGTATGGATGGTAGAAGAAATATGCAATTTTCAGACATAGGAAATAAGTTCGCTGAGGATAAAGTGGTGAAAAAAAGTATTGGTCATATCATAAAAGTTGCTTTCTGAAAACGGAGAAGAGAAAGAATTGGGTGTTCCATGCCGGCGCGAAGAGTTAGTAATGCAGTATGAGCATATATCGCTCAATTTTGGGTTGAGGTATCGGATAATTTATAACGGGGATGAGCTCGAGACTGGGCCGAGTTGATAGCTGTTCATCGTCCAAGTATTTCTATAGGGACCATAAATGTTTGTTGTCCACGCATATGTAATATATCAGGCTTAAAGAGAATACTTCTGTTGTCCCTCGATGGTACGGCGGCATGGATGAATCCAAAGAAATCAATAATAAGTTTTTAAGTCTCACAAGTATGTTAGCCATTTCAATTCCTTCGAATGCTGCTTTTGAAATGTGAAAAGAGGTCGGCGCCCCCCAAGGGAATGCGGGTTGCCGAGATGAACACGGATAAATTCAAGTTGGTCAAAAAGATTCTAAACAGGCGATGGCGAAAAAAGGGAGACAGAAAGACGGAAAAGAATGGGTAAAGATGTAACTCCATCAAAGCGTTTAGAACCATAATTCAGGGGTTATTGAGAGTTGAAGGATGTCAGTAACTTAACATGCGCCGTCCAGGCAAACGGCAAGGTTCCTGGTTTTCCATGGATATGTTGTTGCGGTCACCACCGCCATTCCGACAACGCCCAGTAGGGCTGTCTTCCATTTGGGAAGAATGCTGCCCAAAGGCAAATGTTTGAGCTCTACCAAGTTTAGATCGTTGCTTGACTTTCCCCAGGCCTCGTTCACAAGCAAAGGCATGTTCTTTCGCACCCATCTCGACATAATTCTGAGGAACGCAGCGAGAGCGATACACCGCGAAGAAAGCACTGTATCCGCCATCTAGGATGTACATTTCAGGAAAGGTAAGTTTGGGGTATTCATCGATATTGACTGCACGATCTTTGTGTCGAATGAATTTGGCCCTAAAGTAGCAGATGTAAGAAGGAATCGTGCAAAGAAATAGTGGAAAGAATGGGAGGGAAATTATAAACTCACATTATGGGTGCTCGATGAGCAGAATACTCGCAATGAAACACCAACACAGTGTTTGGCTTCATGTTGTCGGAAAACAGTTCCGCTGCGAGATGCTCCTTATCATTGTAATTGACTGCACCGGCAATGTGTCCACCATCATACTCGTACTCAAAGCGGCAATCAATAATGATTACATCATCATATCTATCATTATATTTTCCGTCAATAATATCAATCAAAACAGCGTTCTCGATCCGGGGAAGACCATCAGGTTGATCTTCGGGTATAAAGTGAGGTAAGTGAAGCGTCGGCCCTTCTTCCAAATCGCGTACCGATTGGATATTCACACTGGAGTCGTCATTTTGGTTTATTAAGTCGTCGGAATGTTCAAACATGCTGAGCGATCTCCTGCTCTGCTTTCTGGGTCGGGCAAAGGGGTTCGAACTCTTACGCACGATGCCATGGCTAGGAGAGCCATTGTCACGTGCTTGTCCGACACAGCCAGAAAATGGGGCTCTTGGACGAGGAGGACCCACTTGATCGTTCCCATGAAATATCCTTGCAGCCGGCCTTTCAGGAGATCCCTCAAACATCTCAGACAACGATAGGGATGTCGACGTAGATTTATTACTCCCATTTCCGATTTTCAAAGACGGTTGAGATTGACTGCCAGCAGGGCTTTTCGAAATTCCACAGTGGGCCTTGGTCCTCATCAAGGATGGGCGGAGGAAAGCAGCCCGTTTTCTCCTGCTAGAAATCAGTCTAAACAAAAGTCAATCACTGTAGAACACGGCGAAGCATAAAGTACTCACTCTTGATCATTGCATTGCGGAGACTCCATTGGTGACGGCTTCAATGGACTAGGCATGTAGATATTTGGCTTAGGTACTGAGAGATCAGCCGTAGGAGATACTATATCCATGTCTGCGGTTTGACTATATGGAGTTTTGTGTGGCAGTGGGGACATATCCATCATATCAACAGATATGGCAGGCGAGGACGACGGCAGAGGGGGCGTTGTCATCGTATCTAGATATATCGCTGTTAGCTTCACCGTTAAACTTACCAAAAGTTTAGGGGCTCTATAAATAAGGAACTCACCTCGACCATGTTCGGGACCAAATAAGTTTGCTGAAAACAGTGACCTCCGTGGTGTTACTAACGCAGGACTAGAAGCAAGATCAGCATCCGAACGAAGAATTGTAAAGAACCAAGTGAAGAAAAACCAAAGGGAAGAAGACTCTATGACGTATTCAACTATCAGAACACGTACCTTTGATCAATGTGGAAATTCTGAGACAGATCTGCGGCTAGACTTGCTGTAGGGGAAGATCCTCCAACAGGTTTAGCATTGAAGTAATCCGGGTTCCCCTTCTTCTTGGAAATATCCTTGAAATTGAAACTGCTTGGACCAAAAGACCTGACAGCAGGGAAAGTTGGGAACCCTGCTGTCTCTGGTCGAAAACAGTGGCCAAAGAGCATAGACGGAGGTTGCATAGCCGCAAGGGGAGATGAGTGTTCCATAGCTGCAGCAGCAAGTCGCTTGTATTTGATAATCGGTATTATATCTTTGCTTTTTAGTTTTCTTTCTTTCCTTCTCCTCTATCTGTTCCTCCACTCG